GCAAAACTCTTACTCCTTCTTCTACAAGGTCCTTCTTAAATTCCACTTACTTTGGGAATTCTTGGTGATCTTTCTATTTTATTGGAACTCTTAATGACTCACAGGATAGCCATTAATACATATTAATCAACATGTCACCTGAGATTGAGAAAACCATTTTGCCCCCCCACATGAGATGAGTAAGGATCATAATGATCAGAATAGTCACTGGGACCTCTTGTCAAGTCTGCTTCATCCTTTGGTGAGAACGGTCTTGTGTCCAGTGCTGTATCTTCAGTTCTGACAGTGGCTTGACTCACCTTCAACTCCCACTTGGCCATTTGACTGCTACCTACTCAGCTCCATTTCTCCAGTCCTACTCGCGGGTCCCCGAGTCAATTTAGAGCATTCACCAGCATGCCCAACTGCAAAGATAGACGAAAAAAGCTGACTAGCAAACACACGCCAGGCCAGCTGGAGAAGGACCCATTCAGTGGCGATACTTGGAATGGCTTCTGAGTATTCTTTCATCTGCGACATCTGCCCTATCACAGATTTTATGTTTCTTTGTAAGATATTTTAGATTTTCTCTATTTGTACCCTCTGCTAATAACATTACAGTTTGGGATTTTATGATTTCATGGCTCACATCTAACTCTGGACTCTCCACTGTGTTGTCTACATCCAAGCTTTTCTAACCAATCCAGCATTCAGCTCGCAGAGTAATTTTCTAAAATGTTACCTTCACTCTTCCTGGACTGAGCACAAGAAATCAGCCGCTCGAATTTGAAGTCTGAAGATCGCAGACCCTAACATTTTTGTCTCTTAAGTTAAAAGAGAGAGCACTGAAACACTTCCTTACGGCTGAAATAAGTATAAATGAAGATTTGGTCACAGGGCATTACTCAACATTTATTGTCTGTGTCTTGCAGCAGACACCTTAGTGCTTATTCCTTGTGACCTAAAATATCATGTCCCCCCACCCCAGTCAATTCCTTAAGACCCATGTTGAAATCCAGCCCCTCCACCAAATCTCCCTCCTTATTTCTAGCTAATTATCAGGACTCCTGTTTTCTTCTCTAGTCTTGTTTTTGTGCTAATTCTAGTCCCCCCAGTGCCTTCCCCAGGCCAGCCCACACTTGGTTCACACTGAACACAAGTGGTTTACACTGCACGATGCTCCCTCCCATCTCCTGGCTTCTGTGTGGTGCTCTCTCAGACTGGGATGCCCAGCCCCCAATCCTCTAGGTTCATTAGTTCATCAGCAGATCTTCACCAGGCATCTCCTTGCACCAACTAATATGCTAGATGTTCCAGGTGTGCTACTGAGGAGTGGTTCCTGGCTCCTTGGAGTACTCAGCTTCTAACGGGGAAACACAGACATAACCACACACCTGTAACATTGCAAACCCTCATCAAGTCTGTAAGGAAGCTGCCGGGAACTTTGAGAATCTGTACCAGGAGACATGATGAAACCAGGGACAGGGGATGCAGAGGGAAAGCATCCTTAAAGATGTGTACAGCTGACATCTGAGGGATGAAGAGGGTGTACATTCTGGGTCGAAACACCATGTGCTTTGGGACAGGAAGGGACAGGGCGCATCCCGGAGCTGGATGTGAATCCGGTGAGTGGGCAGCACACCTGTGTTCAGTTGAACACAATGTGATTTTGCATTCTCAAGAGTGTGGGTACGTTTTGTCTCATTAAGATCATAAGCTCCTAAAACAAGGAATGGGGCGGTGGAGCGCCATAGAGTTGTTCCCGAGATATGTCAGTCTTCTGGGGGAAGGGTGGCAGTATGAAAGGTCCAGTGAAGCACCCAAAATTCTTTGAGGAGAACCATTCATGAATCCATGCACATCAACACCAGACACTCCTCTCACCAAAAACAACATCCTCATTCGTGCCGTCCAGCATGGGAGCCACTAGCTCTTGTGGTGACTGAACATTTGGCATGTGGCTCGTCCCTGTAAAGCGGTGCTGAGAGTGTAAAACACACACTGGATGTTGAAGACTTGGTGTGGAAAGAAAGAACATGATGACCTCAGTAGTTTTTATATTGACTGCATGGTAAAATCACAGTTTTAGGTATGTTGGCTGTATTAGTAAATTAATTTCACCTGCTTTCTACCGTTTTGAAGGTGGCTACTAGACATTTTAAATGACCTGTGAGGCTTGTGTTCACGGCTTCTATTTTATTTCTAATGTACAGAGCTGCCCTAGAGCTAGATACGGTGTGAGTGGTCCTTAGAACCCTGTCTCCTACATAGTGTGGGTGTTTAATACCCACATAAAGGAAGTACCTGTGCTGGGAGCGTGAAAGAAAACGCACAATACCCTAGCGTGTTGGAGCTAGAAGGGGGCTGGGCGGCCGCCATTTTCCAGGTGGGAAAACCCAAGCATGTTTGGCACCATTTATGGGATTGCGTATACTTTCAGAATAACTTTAAAACTGCCTTTTTTTTTTTTTGGTCTCACTTTTGCAAGTCAGACTGAAATACCAAGAGACAAACTAGAATATATTAAAGCTCAAGTTAGTATTAAACCTCAACTAGATTTCTGATGTCCAATTTTAGGACACAAAGAGGCCTTAAAGCTTGGCAGGACTTACTGTTCATCCTTGTACAAGGCCATTGCTCTGCGGCAGTGGAACCTAACAAGCTCTTCACTAGTTCACATAAAAGGCCATTGCTCTGCGGCAGTGGAACCTAACAAGCTCTTCACTAGTTCACATAAAAGACCATTGCTCTACGGCAGTGGAACCTAACAAGCTCTTCACTAGTTTACATAAAAGGCCATTGCTCTGCGGCAGTGGAACCTAACAAGCTCTTCACTAGTTTACAGAATAGGTTGGGACTGGCACTTCATAAACAGAAAATCACGTCCAGTCCTGGGTATTTATCCAACCGGCACAAACACAGCGATTCTACCCAGGCACCGAGTCAGAACCACCAGGTCCCCTTTGGAAGGTTAAAAAGGACTTCAATTCCACGTCAGATAGAGCACAGGAAGCAGAAGTTTCCCCTGTGAGTTTCCTGCATCCCTAGCTCTGCTGCCCGCTGCCAGCCCTGGTCAGCAACCGCAGTGCGCCCCGAAAGCAGCCTGCACAGCTTGCAAGGGTGGGTACGAAGAGGTCAGGCTACCGCCCACATTGCGGGGCGTCCTGCCGAGACGAGGAAGCCAAGAAATCAGGAACAAATCGGACTGGAATTAAAAACCACCTCATGCAGGTTCCACGGGCCACCTCCCTCCATTAAACAGCAAGGCGATTTGTATCCCTTCCTGACCTGCTCTCCGAGGAGGGCAGGGAGAGGATATAGGGTCGGGGGAGGCAAGAGAAAGAGGAAACCGCTTAGGAAAGGACGTATAACTCCTTTAGCTTGGCGAGCGGGCGCGCGCGCGCGCGCGCGCGCACACACACACACACACACACACACACACACACCAGTGTAAGCAACACTAAAAAAATCCCTCAAAAACTGGGCATATGGATTTGGAATTGTACCTGATATAATTTTTTAAATCTTAATTTCTCCCCTTATTTATTGGCTCATTTCCTAAGAGGTTGCTCCTTTCCAGGTGCTGGGGAACTCTGATCATCCTAAACGAATACAAAGGAAAACAATCAGATGAAAAAACAAAAAACACCAAAAACTGCTGCGGGGAGAAAAGGCTTTGCTTCGGAGCCGGCAGTGGACAGCAGAGTAGGTGGAAGGCGAAGCCGCAGCGGAGGAATTCGGTTAGTCCAGGACAAATGGGGGCGTGGCGCGCGGCTTGGTCCCGGGAACCTCCGCCAACAAAACTTCTGAAGGTTCGCGGAGGGGGCGGGGGGCGGGGCAGAGCGGGGGAAGGATGTAGCGACTCCGGAGGGAGGGAACCGGGGCTCTCGGAGGGGTCAGGGCTGCGAAGGGCAGAGCGGCGTCGCAGAGGTTTGGGAACCCCTGATCCAGCGAGCGGCTGGCTGGGTGGAAGTCAGGTCCCCGGGGATCCGGCTGCCCTGGCTGTCAGACGCCCCAGGAGCCGCCGCAGACCCGGCAGCGCTCCGAGGGGGCGAGGCCGCCGGCTGTGGTTGGCGGGGAGGGGTGGGCGGAGTGGGGAAGGGGCGTCGCCCCTGTCGCCCCCGCCCTCTCCGATGTCATTGGGCGGCCGCCTCGGGGTCCGCGCCACCTTTTCGCCGTCGCACGCCGCCCTCCCCGCCGCGCTCGTTCGGGGGCCTGTCCGGCCCTGGCCGTTGACGTCACCTCCAAGTTTGCTGCCCTCGGAGCCCCACGTGTGGCTGCAGCGACGGCCCGGGAGGCGGCGAGCGCAGTGGCCACGGCTGCTGACAGGTCCCGCGCAGCCCGGCTCGTCCACGCCGCTCCCAGGTGGGGCCCGAGAGCCGCCGGAGCGGCTGGGCGCGCACCAAGAGGGTCGGACGGCTCGGCGCGGGTCCTCTGGCTCCCGCTCGGGTAGAGGGACTCGGGGGACCTCGCCCCGGGGCCGAGAGCGTGCGCCCAGGCGGGCCGGGGACCGAGGAAGCGGTGGCTGGGAGGCACAGTCCCCGCCGCGGTCTGCAGCGCACGGAGCTCAGCGGCCTCGGAGCCGCACGTCCCCTCACCGGGACCGAGCGAGGGATGCACGATCGCTGAGCTGGGACTCCCGCCGAGAGGCCGTTTCGGCCCGGGTTTGAGACGCACGCCTTCGCCACCGCCGCCGACACCCCCATTCCGGCGACTCTCGGGGACCGGGGGCGCCGAGTGCGGCCCCGGGCTCAGGACTTGGGCGATTCTCAGACGATGGTTTCTTAAGCACGGCACCCCGTCCCCTTTCCCGCCCCCTCGACCGGAGGCTGGGATCCAGCGCAGGGCTCCGGGGGCTCCGTCTCCCCGAGGAGCCTCGGCTGCTGCCGCCCGGGCAGCTCGCACGGCCGTAGGGGCGCAGGGCGATGTGGCCTCCGGCCAGCGCGCCGGCCCCCCCGGAGGATGCCACGGCACCTGGCGAAGTCCCGGCCTAGCATGGCCAGCGCGCTGCCCGACGTCGCCTCCGGCTAGGATGGCCCCTCCGGCCCTGGCCGGCTCCCACCCCACCTCGACCGAGCCGCTGTCCCGCAGCATCTTCCGGAAGTTCTTGCTGATGCTCTGCTCCCTGCTCACATCCCTCTACGTCTTCTACTGCCTGGCCGAGCGCTGCCAGACCCTGTCGGGCCCCGTCGTGGGGCGGTCGGGCGGTGGCAAGGAGGCGGGGGCCCCGGGTCGCGGCGTCCTGGCGGGAGGCGCGGGGGAGCCGGTGGCGTGGCCCGCGGTCGCGCGAAGGAAGCGCCTCCTGCAAGTGCAGCCGTGGCCGAGGCGCCGGCCGCCCGCGCTGCGGGACGACGGCGAGGTGGCGGCCTGGGAAGAGGAGACCCCTGGCCTGGCGGGGAGTCCCGGCGGCTCCGGGGCCGGGAGCAGCGTGGCCGAGACGCCGCCGGGGACCCTGGCCCTGCTGCTGGACGAAGGCAGCAAGCAGCTGCCGCAGGCCATCATCATCGGCGTGAAGAAGGGCGGCACGCGGGCGCTGCTCGAGTTCCTGCGCGTGCACCCCGACGTGCGCGCCGTGGGCGCCGAGCCCCACTTCTTCGACCGCAGCTACGACAAGGGCCTCGCCTGGTACCGGTGAGCTGGGGCCGGACAAGGCGGGCAGGCGGGGGCGGCCAGAGCCCGGGGTAGGGGCTTGAGGAGCCCGTGGTGACGCCCACCCAGTTCATCGCCCTCCCCGGTTTCATGCAGAGGGCAGAGGGTCATCGGTAGTTGTCCTTAAGATGAGGGGTTTCCTTCCCCACCCTGCCTTCTCCCGGGGAAGAGGGAGCGGGTCGGAGGGAAATTTTGGCCTTGCAGATTTTGTCTTTAGCTCTTGGAATTCCCTTTTCCCCAAATAGCCAATCTCATCATTTTCTCCTGCTTTGTGAAAGTTTCCCTGTGCGTAGTAGCTAAAGAGAGAAAAAAAAAGAAACATGTGTCTTCCAAGTTAGAAACCTGTTCACCAATTACTAGATACGTGACCTAGTGGATCCCTTTCCCACGGAAGCCTGTTTTTATTTCTTCTTCATCTGGGCGATTCCCTGCGGTTAACGCAGGCTTTGCCATCGCCTGTTTATTTATTTACCTTAAGTCTTTGCCTAATTGTCCTAGGTAGTAAGTAATATAGACACTGAGTTAAAGTGTCAAGAACTAGACTCTAGGTTTTGGGGAGATATATGTGAGAGCAGCGTGCTTTAAAGATGGCTTCGTTGGCAATAACTTTTGTTTGGGGCTAGGAATGACTTCGTATAAAATGCTTTCTGTATTTGTAGGGAAGAGTACCTTTTGATTCTGGACTGGCAGAAACTTTTCTAAAGATCTCCAAACAATTCCCTTTAAAAATGAGGTAGACAAAATTTTTTGAAAGGAAGAAACGTGGGGAAAAATAGAGATCCTGGTTACATTGTGAAAAACCCTCCTAATACAGTGTAGGAAACAAGTCTGATTTAGGTCTTAATCTTAAACTTACCAGTCTTCTCAAATTCAAACCACCTTTAATAATAGAATAAGCCAAACTCTAATAAATCTTAGTGTCACCTGGATTTTGTTTGCCATAAAATATTGGCCTTTTTTTCTTTCCTCTGAGTATATGGAAAAATAGGCCAGAATTTTCCATTTTATAAAGTTTTATCTTGTTCATTAAATTTGCAATCTCCTTGTTATCTTGACTGAAATCATAGGACAAAAGTTACAATACCATTTAAACATATTTCAAAAGCCCACTCAATTAACCATTCATCCCCAAAAGAGAAATGGATGTGATTTGACAAGTTTATTTACTCGAGGGTCAAGCACAGGAAGCAAATTTACAGTAACCCAACTCATGAGAAAACATTTGGTCCTAAAAGTCGAACTAGAACATTAAACATGTTTAAAACAGTAACTTTCCATTTGTTGGAGAGGAAGACAAAACAACCTTCCCTTACTATAGAATATAGATCATTTAAAATCATCAGCCACTTAAAAAATCCCCTTGTGTTTCTGTCATTTATGTTGTATCCTCTGGGAAGTTCTTATAAAAATGACCTGTTGAATCTGGAAACAACAGGTCCTTCTTCTTAGCACAAAGGCAGCTCTGTTTTTTCCATCAAGGACACAAGAAAGAAGTGATTAAAGACCCCTAAAACTCTTATCTATAGCAGTTTGCATTGTATGTGGCCTGGTACAGGGCTATAAGTGAACACATTTCAAGCCGACTGCCCAAAAACATCTAAGACAATGTTGGACTCAGAGGTGCTATTAAATATGGTGAAACATTTAGTACTAAAACCCTTTATTTTCATTTTGCTATATAGCCTTTATTTCCACAAAGTAGGACTGTTTCTTCCTCTTCCAGAAATGAGTATTTGGGGGCACAGTATATCCACAGAGCTGGATCTTATTTTCCGTTGACCTTTCTGAGCTTGTGTAAGAGAAGGAAGGTTTCAAGGTAACTAGAAACACAAGTATTTAAAAAAAAAAAAAAAAGGAAAGGAAAAAAAGAAGAAAAAGTCATGAACTTTGAGGCTGCTGTCTCGTTTGGAAACTGGAGGCATGCTATAAAGTAAATATCTCCTTGGACTGTTTACTTCGGTAGAGGAGTTTTATAAAGCAGTTTATGGTGGTTACAAAAATAACTGCACAGTAGACTTCATGGTTTGGTGAATTTAATTTTCCAAGTGTTGGAGCAGTGTCTTTGTTTTACCATTTGCAGTGGTCTTTTATTGGACGCATAAATTTAAGTTTAAATCAATTACATGGAAAACTATTTAAGAAGTCCAACCTATGGGGCCTGGATTATGAGATTATTTAATGAAACTTTGCTACAGTTCTCTTTCATCTCGGCCCTGAACTTGGAGTTAGATGTTTGTGAAAAAGACTGAAGACTTACTTACCAATGACAAAAAAATCACACAGAATGCCATTTAACTATTAGGCACGTTTTAGCTGCTTGTGTTTAGCCAGTATTTTAGGTAAAGGGATTCGGTAAGACCTTCTTGAGTCAGCCCCAAAATTGTAATATAGGGTTTCTAACACACATTTATGACCAGACACACACACACACACACACGAACAGAAAGAAAACCCTAGTATTTCAACCCTGAAGTGAATTATAGAAGAGAAAAAAATTTGTACAATATTTTTTACAATAATTTAAAAAAAAAATTTGTACAATATTTTCTCTCATTGACATGGGAGAATCATGATGTCTAGCCTTGTTTTTTCGCCCAGTGAAAATTCTCTCAATTTGTCGTAATAGTTTGTTGTGGCAGCGCCCCCTACCGTCCTGACAATGGGACAGATCTGTTACTGCTGCGAAGTTGGGAGAAAATCTCTTGGAAACTGAGTTTGAGAGTTAAAAATGCCCGTTGTTAGGATGTGTCAATAAATTTCTCTCTCTGGGAAAAAAATTAAAAGTACTTTATAAACTACATCCCAAGAACAGTGTAATCAATGGTTTCTTCGTTTGGACAAATGTGTAGTAAAGGCCAAGAAAACGAATTTATTTAAAATCTCTAAAAAGGAAGTTATTCTTATTGATTTAAAAATGTCCTAATATTACTCTAAAATAAATGAAATAAATGAACATTTTAATATGCCGGGAAATTTGTTGATGATAATTTAGGACGCTTCAGTGGACTTTTCCGGATATGAAACTCCGCTCTGATGGGGTTTAAAAAAACATTCCACATTACTTAATTTAGCTGACATGATATCAGGACAACAAATGTCTGTGGCTTGCGTGTCACAGGAAAGCAATCCTTCACTGTGAGCGGTCTCCATTTCCATCGGATGTGTGATGGGTTCCTCAAGAAAAGGGGGGAATTGTTTCATTACCTTCAGAACTTTGAGATCTTTTCTGGAAGTTAAGACCAAATGCGTGTGCTGTGGTTCAAGAGCAGGTGACCTTGGAATTCTAAAAGAAGCCCCCTCCCCTACTCTGCCTGTATATCTGCACCAGCTGGAGGCCATGGTTATTTTTCTCCTAAGACAAAAGATAACTGTTTATAAAGTACTTAAAGATAATGTGTGTGCTTATATATACTATGTACATATATATATATTTATATATGTATATGAATATAAACGTTTGGATTCTGTAACACTTCAGTCTTTTACTTGGGGACAAGATAGTAAGTGTTCATCATCTATCTCCTGTGCTAGCATGTATCTTTCCTATATTTTGACTCATTTTCTTTAGTGAGACTGGGTGATTTCCCCAGAGAAGAATGTCGCTAAACTTATTTTACTCTGTAGCATCCAGAAAGATCAAAGATTACTCAGCTTGGAGTTTAGGAGTTGGTCCTTTCCGTGGCTTCATCAGAATGTGAAGTTTTCTGGCCCTTCCTGATCACTGCCTTGTTTATCGAGTCCACGGGAGAGGCAGGCTGAGCAGAGGCACTTCCGGTTCCTATCGGGGGTGATCGGCATCTTGGAGCAGCTGGGAGCAGCTGCAGAGTACCTCCGTGCGTACTTTCCCACCCTCCTGAGCCACCAGCCCTTCTACATGAAGGGTTGGAAGTGAAATTCGAGCCAAGGGAGTCTGGCCACCCATGCAAGGTCCTGGGGACTGACATCCAAAGGGGCTCTGTGTCCTCAGAGGGAAGCCAAGGACCTTGGAAGGGATAAGAGGTGGGGGGGGGGGCGGATCGTGGAGAAGCAGCTTTGGGCCCTGAGTCTAGGGTACATGTCTGTGGTGGGGGGAGGGGAGGGCCCAATTTCTTTCATGCATTTGCTCCCTGGAGCCCTCAGTGACTGGACACTCTCCATCAACTGTGAGGTTGCAAAGAACCCCTTTGAGAAGCTACAAGCTGCCATTTTGTTTGCCCCGGGTTCATCTCCCCAGTAGACCAACCCAGCAGGACCAGTCCAACAGTCTCATTTCTGTGTGTGTGTGTGGCGCACGAGGTTCATGCATGAACCCATACACACATGTATGCAAGAGCAGGTACCCAGTAGGTGGGGAAAGTGATAGAATTGATCACAGAAAAGTTATTTAGTGGTTGGGGAACTTCTGAGCAGCATCAGACACCCAGGGCGAGCAAGGTCTAGGATTATTTAGTCCAGGCATTAAAAACAACAATAGCAAAACCATGTTTGGTGTAGCCTGGAACTGGAATACCTTGTGTGAGTGATTATGCCCTTGTAGTGATGAGGTTTATCAGGTGCTGATGTAGTGTGTGTGGAATGCATGGCCAAGTTGGAGCGAAAGCCCTCCACAATATTGGAATCTTCTGCCTTCCTCTTAAAAAAAATCAAGAAACGCTCTGGCCCAAATATTTGTCTCATAGAATTTCTGTTGATTGGCCCAGAAAGAGTACGTGCCAAATCTGTATTCTGGAGGGGTCATGAGAACAAAATAAGCCTGTGCAATTAATGGCAACAGGGGCTGACCTTACACAGACCAGATGCTCACATCATAGTAGGAGAGTGTCACGGAGCAAACAGACTGACTTGGTATAAACAGCAAAGGCCTGCTATCTCTACGGGATGCATTTGAAGGACTGCACATCACCATTACCATCAGCCACATTGCTGCGCTGGGTTGGGAACTTGATAGACGTAGTGATTTCCCTCAGGGGCACGTCTTCCTCCCCCAAGGAACAGGAACTGGG